TCCTTCAAGTGAATGTCTCAATCCGAGTCTCAATTAGCTTTTAAAATACAAGAAGATTATGTCAGGTTCAGTGTAATGGTAAACATGATTATGTACTGTCCTGTAGCTGCAACACAAATGTTCCTAATATGAATCCAAAGGATCTGTAACCTGTCTTTAAAACCCATCAGTTACAAAATGTTATTTGTGTCTGTGTCTGTATCTGTGATCCCATGAGTGACAGGTTATAAAAATAAATGTAATAATAATAATAAAATGATAATAAGGCGTGTAAATCAGGCTAAATATATATGTAAATTAAATTATGAAACAACATTAGAGTAATTCCCCATATGTAAAAAATATATGACTGATTAAAGAGTTTTGTGAGTTTTTGTCAACTTCATCTGACAAGTAAAATCCGCCAGACATAAAATCTGACGAGTTGAGTTGACAAAATTGAATATTTTTGCACATTAACCAGGTTTTGTACAGTGGATCAATTTTGTTTTATACCTCAGTTGTATATGCGTTAATAAACATAACAAAACTGACAAGATTTATCCCACAACTAATTACAGAAACTTTTACACAGGGATGACGGAGTTGACATGTTGAAGCTGTGACCGTGGAGACTTCAACACTGTTTGTACAAAATAAATCATAGAAAATATGAAAGAAAATATATCAACACTTTGTTTGGCAGTTTTATATTGTGACTTCATGCTGACAAACTTCATGCTGAGGTTAAATTATTTCCAAGTATGGAGCACGTATTTAAAATAATGCTGAAGAAATTGTAAACAAAAAACAAAAAAAAAACAATGATTGGCCTGGGTATACAGATTTCCTTCAGATGCAACTAAGTATTTTGATTCATTTCCTCATTTTTAACATAAAGAGGGCTTTTGTGTGTAGGCCATGTTTTGTCCCATATATATATATAGTAATTTAGTAATTTTAAAAAAAATTTAAAAATTACTATTTAGTAATAGTGAAACTCCAAATACGCCTCGCAGAAGAAACCCAGAAAATGCCTATCGCTGCAACTGAATAAACAGAAGATTCAACTGCTTTCATTGATTCAACGTGAGTAATAAACACATGACTATGGCAATATACGGTTTATCTGAGTTCTTATTATTATAATTTTCACTAAAATAAAGTATATTTATAATGCAATGCCTTTATCACTGCTTAAATACTATGAAATATGTTGCATGCCTTATTCTGTGTAAGAAGCCACATCATCTCACAGAAGGATTTATTTCAAACACTCGACTGATGTTATGAAGTGAGTTTGGAGTAAAAATATGTTATTAATTGTGGTATTTTCACATGCTTTCAGATGGAGCAGCATTTACTTCACAGAGCCGTAGTTCACTGAGAAGCTATGCAAACAACTGTCATTATTGCAAACGATTTCTTCGATTTCAGAATTGCAAGTAACTTGTCAGTGAACTATGGCTATGTGTAGTAAACTCTGCTCCATCTGAAAGCATGTGATGATGATTTCTTGCTGATTACAGAACCGGCTTTTTTAATAAAATGCGCATGACAATTGCATTCGATTAATCGTGCAGCCCTAATGTATGTATGTATGTATATACATATATATATATACACACACACATACACACAAATCTCGCTGAAACTTTTGAATGGTGGAGATTTATATATTTAATCTATTTAATTTTTTGGCATTAATGGACATGAAAATTTATATTTTCAACTCTATACTCTATATGAAAAGAAAGAGGCTGCAGAGACACAAAACTAGCACAGATATGCAGGAAAGCAGTTGGTCAGGTATATGGTTTAGAGGTCATTACACAGAACTACTTGACCACAGAATGCTGTACTGACAAATCAGAAGTTTTCCAGTAAGTCATTTACATAATCTATACAGGCTATGTCAGTATGTGAACTACAGCTTTGAAGATTGCTGCACAGAATGTTATCTCAAAAATCACTCACGTAAGCGATCTGTAACCGAAATATGAGCAGCAAAAAGACTGAAGATGAGTTGTATTTTGAACCTGTTCTCCAGGATGACATGCACCTCCAAGCCGAAGCCCTATTATATACAATGTTTTCAGATGAGAGGTGCGATAGAGTCTGTAAAAACCACTCAAGCACACATTTCTGCACAGCCCCTGCACTGCTGAAACTCCCTGTGTTCCAGCGGTGCTGTTTAAAAGCAGACGCTCTCGAGTGTGTGTTCTATTTTCCACTTGACAGTGCTGGTACTTCACCAGAGAGGCGGCACGACTGGGCCAAGGCTGTCAGTCAACTCATCCTCCATCTCCATCAACGTTTCATTCAGTCCTAATGCATTCATTCAAGGGCCTCACCCAGGGTCCGGGCCCCAATCTAATACACGTGCCTCAACCATTCCGCTCTGGTTACGAGAATAAGCTTATTTCCTTATAAGCCATCTGGCAGCCCACGTCAGCTACAAAAGGAAATAAATCAATTTGTCAGCCAGACAAAGAGACGTGTAGCAAACAAGGTATGACCTAATTTACGGGGGCCGTGTCCAAATCGACAATGACCTAAAGTTATCAGGCGAATCTGATGGTAATGCGAGAGGAAAGATTAAACCCGTTTCAAATGAAGCAATTTGGCCCGCGATTGCATCAGTGCGAACGGGGAGTCAAAAAGACGAGCAGCGTACATTCGGATTCTCATTGAAGTCCCTCAAAAGGCCCGGTGGCAAATGAGAGTTTTACTTATCAAAGCAAATGCCTCCTGTTGGATTTAACGAGGTAAATATCTTTGCTTTTTTTTAACAAAAGGAGTAATAAAACTAGCAGTTATGACATTGTGGTTTATGACGAGCCCCCAAAGTGCTCGCAAGTCTCTAAAACAGTCAGAATGGAAAAACAGCTTAGTAAACGCACAAATCTCATTAAATACGGTAGCTGTAATGTTTCTCCCGAGCCATAATAAACCCAAAATGCCGATATTTCTTCTGTGCTCTATCTTATTTTGTTACTTTAACCACATTAGCGCTAATAGTACTTTATTTTGTTATACAATAGCTGAATAATACAACATCCCGTCATGTGTAATGCCTTTTCAGGCTGTATCGTTTTAATAAGCCATGAGGCTTTTTTTAATTACGGGCAGTTTGTCTGAGAGCACGAGCTGGTCATGATGTTGGCACGGGATTTGGGGCCAAAGAGTCAATGGGCAAAATATGTATCTGTCCAATGTTCGAGAGTCCCGCTGTGTGCCCCCATAACCTTAAGTTTTATCCCTCATCACACACATACGCCCATCCATTCCACACAGATTCATTGAATTAAAGCGCTGACCACTGCACAATTTAATCTACCATTCCTTCAGGCGCTGTGACCTTGGCTTTGACTATGCCGAGGCCCCTGTTGGCATGGTAACCACCCTCTGCCTTAAGGGTTAGTCAGCCAGCCGTGTACCCTGCAGCCTAGAGCTTGCAACTTATTTATGCACAACGTGGTCCAGAATTCATTTAACAGAAATGGGAGCAGTGTGTTGATATTCCTCAAATGTTCTGCTGAGGGTTTGTTTGAAACATTGAAACTTTTGCAGTTAAACATAGTCCAAACTTTGTTTAGTAGATCATTTCTGTCTTTAAATTATATAATTAAGAAGTTCTACTCTTGACTTACATTGATGTGCAGCATTTAAAACATAACTAACAGTAATACTGTTAATATTTACATTTAGTCATTTAGCAGACGCTTTTATCCAAAGCGACTTACAAATGACGACAATGGAAGCAATCAAAATCAACAAAAGAGCAATGATATACAAGTGCAATAACAAGTCTCAGTTAGCTTAACTCAGTACACGTAGCAAGGTTTTTTTTTTATTATATAATAAATAAAAAGAAAACAGATAGAATAGAAAAAGAATAGCGCAAGCTAGTGTAAGAGGCCTTTTTTGCTTTTGTTAATAGTATAATAAATAAAAAGAAAACAGATAGAATACAAAAAGATTAGAAAGCTATTTTTTTGTATTTTTTTTAAAGAAAACAAGCAGCAAATGAATAGAGTGCAAGTCTAAAAGGAACAAGGTGGTTTTTTTTTTAAGAATAGAAAGTGCTAGAGTTAGAGAGTCAAATAAATTTGGAAGAGATGTGTTTTTAGCCGATTCTTGAAGATGGCTAAGGACTAGGAGGGAACATTTAATTTAAAGGAGACATATTATGCCCCTTTTTACAATATGTAATATAAGTCTCTGGTGTCCCCAGAATGTGTCGGTGAAATTTCAGCTCAAAATACCCCACAGATAATTTATTATATCATTTTGAAAATGCCTATTTTGAGTGAAAGCAGAAACACGCTGTTTTTTGTGCCTTTCTCATTAAATGCAAATGAGCTGCTTCTCCCCGCCCCCTTTTCCAGAATAGAGCTGCGCCATTACAGCTCATACATGCTAAAAACATCTGTTTTGGTTCAGATTATCATGTTTGTCGCTCTGAAATCATGCGTTTTAAACCATATGAGTTTAAACTTCTGATATACGGTTTTCTGAGTGCACACATTCGAAGCACACGGACAGAAAGCGGCTGTCACAGCATGTGAGTACTAAACTAAGTTCTCGTTCACACACAAGTTTACCTTAAAGCATGTGAGTACTAAACTAAGTTCTCGTTCACACACAAGTTTACGTTAAAAACACACATGAACTACAAAAACAGTCGATTATGTCTGTGAAAGTAAACAGCTGTGAAATCAATTGCATGATTATTTTAGATCTGTGTGGCAGCAGCAATATACAGTAAATAAATCAATAGTTCCACTGCTCTGTTGTCTCCTCTGAGGCTGGGACTCTAATTAGTGTTCTGTGCTCGTCTGTGCAGCCAAAGACAGAACAGTAAGCATGTTTTGCTCAAACTTTCGCCTTGGCATTAGTTACTGGGTTAATCTTTTTCATGTTTCCTTGGTTGGTAGATGCACCGGGGGTTACAGATTAAGGGGCGGTGATATTATAATGAGATCCCTTTGCCACGTCCCCAAGGGAGCGAAATCAGACGCACTCGTTTTCTCAGACACTTGCAGAAAAAGGCTTACCAAAACAAACTAAATTCTTACTCTGGTTGATATTCTACAATGAAAGCCACCACAAGTGTTACTAAAATGTATAAAAAAAATAAAAATCACCCACTAGGTCTCTGGTGACTCTCTCAGAGGCGATCTGGAGATAGTTCCACACAATGAGAAGGACCATGAACATGGGCATCATGTAGAAATCCCAGTACCACACAGTGAGAACAAAGACCTGAAGGAAAACACATGCAGGATTCAGGCTTTCATGAAGACTGAGACTAATGAAGGGTGACATATTTATCATATACAGTATTTACATAATCCCAATTCTTCTATTAACAGTTCATGAATGTGAATAAAGATACATGATCAACTATTAAAAAAGTTTCACTAGATTAGACTCTTATTTGTAAGGTAAGCTGCCATAAAAAGTAAGCTAGCATTTATGATTTATTTCCAAATCATATAATACCACAAAAATCTAATTAAACAACCATGAATTGACTGAATTAATTAATTAATTTCTAACCAGAAATGCTATGATGCTCCTCTGCACACTTTCCCACTGGAAACAGCTCTTGATGAACTGGTTGGCATGGCACACAGCACGATAAAGGTTCCTCACGCGAAGAACATTCCTGGCAAGAACCTGGTGGTTGTTAGATAGTTAGCAGCTCATACATTGACACATTTATGTGTGGATGTTACCCAACTTATACTATACTCTACTGATGCTATAATATTTCTGAACGTCATACCTTCTTAGAAAACTTGGCATTGTCCTCCATAAACTTCTGTTCTCTAGGTGTGAAGGTCCTGATGCTTGCTTTGATCTGGCCAAGGCATTGAACAATTCAAACTATTAAATATACAGTCTCTGAGCATATGAACTATTTTACGGATACAGTACATACAAGAATATACATCAGGTGCTGAAAATGTATCTGAGCGCAGTATTTTTTAGCTAAATAATGGCACTATTATCTTCTGTAGAGCTGCTTTAATAGCTGAAATCAAATTGGTTCATAACTGACGGATTTTAATATATGATATTTATATACAGTATGTATGTGAACGTGAAGCAATCTAAACTGTATAAAGTGCTGTATGAATAAATGTGACTTGGCCGTTTCATATTCTGCTTGGCTGATCATACTGAACTATTGAATAAAGGTGTAATCTCTTTGTTGTTATTATCAGTCAAGACTCACAGAATTGAAAATGATTTCCAGCTCCAGTACTATGGTTCCTTTAGACAGTCCTCCCAAATTCTCTTTCCTCAGAGGACAAGCAACCTGCTGACCATTACGTATCTGTAGTAATAAATAAAAAACCATTGAACAACATTCACACATATTCATTCCAATTCAACACCATTGCTCTAAAATTAATGGGTCAAAATTATTGATTTTTCTTTTATGCCAAAAATCATTAGGATATTAAAGGGGTCATATAATGCGATTTCAAGTTTTCCTTTCTCTTTGGAGTGTTACAAGCTCTTGGTCCATAAAGAAGATCTGTAAAGTTGCAAAGACTAAAGTCTCAAATCCAAAGA